CACAACACGAATATAGCACGAGCAGGACGCGATGTAACATGAGTATAACACGGGCAGGACACGATTTAACACGAGTATAACACGGGCAGGACACGATATAACACGAGTATAACATGGGCAGGACAGGATGTAACACGAGTATAACATGGGCAGGACACGATGTTACACGAATGTAACACGTCCGGACACGATGTAACACGAGTATAACACGGGTAGGACACGATGTTACACGTGTATAACACGGGCAGGACACGATGTGTAACACGACTATAACACGGGCAGGACACGAAGTAACACGACTATAACACGGGCAGGACACGATGTAACACGACTATAACACGGGCAGGACACGATGTTACACGACTATAACACGAACAGGACACGCTGTAACATGAGTGTAAAACAGTCAGGACACGATGTAACACGAGTATGACACGAACAGGACACGCTGTAACATGAGTGTAACACGAACAGGACACGCTGTAACATGAGTGTAACACGAACAGGACACGCTGTAACACGAGTGTAACACGAACAGGACACGCTGTAACACGAGTGTAACACGAACAGGACACGCTGTAACGTGAGTGTAACACGAACAGGACACGATGTAACACGAGTGTAACACGTCCAGACACGATGTGTGACACGACTATAACACGGGCAGGACACGATGTAACACGAGTGTAAAACGTCAGGACACGATGTTACACGAGTGTAACACGGTCAGGACACGATGTAACACGAGTGTAACACGTCCAGACACGATGTAACACGAGTATAACACGTCAGGACACGATGTTACACGAGTGTAACACGTCAGGACACAATGTTAAACGAGTGTAACACGTCAGGACACGGTGTAACACGAGTATAACACGTCAGGACACGATGTTACACGAGTGTAACACGGGCAGGACACGATGTAACACGAGTGTAACACGTCAGGACACGATGTAACACGACTATAACACGGGCAGGACACGATGTAACACGAGTATAACACGGGCAGGACACGATGTAACACGAGTATAACACGGGCAGGACACGATGTAACACGAGTGTAACACGTCAGGACACGATGTAACACGAGTATAACACGGGCAAGACACGATGTAACACGAGTATAACACGGGCAAGACACGATGTAACACGAGTGTAACACGTCAGGACACGATGTTAAACGAGTGTAACACGTCAGGACACGATGTAAGACGACTATAACACGGGCAGGACACGATGTAACACGAGGGCAGGACACGATGTAACATGAGTATGACACGGGCTGGACACGATGTAACACGAGTATAACACGGGCAGGACACGATGTAACACGACTATAACACGGGCAGGACACGATGTAACACGAGTATGACACGGGCAGGACACGATGTAACACGAGTATGACACGGGCAGGACACGATGTAACATGAGTGTAACACGAACAGGACACGCTGTAACATGAGTGTAACATGGGCAGGACACGATGTAACACGAGTGTAACACGGGCAGGACACGATGTAACACGAGTATAACACGGGCAGGACACGATGTAACACGAGTATAACATGGGCAGGACACGATGTAACACGAGTATAACACGGGCAGGACACGATGTAACCCGAGTATGACACGGGCAGGACACGATGTAACCCGAGTATAACACGGGCAGGACACGATGTAACATTAGTGTAACACGAACAGGACACGCTGTAACATGAGTGTAACACGGGCAGGACACAATGTAACACGAGTGTAACACGGGCAGGACACGATGTAACACGAGTATAACACGGGCAGGACACGATGTAACACGAGTATAACACGGGCAGGACACGATGTAACACGAGTAAGACACGGGCAGGACACGATGTAACCCGAGTATAACACGGGCAGGACACGATGTAACACGAGTATAACACGGGCAGGACACGATGTAACCCGAGTATAACACGGGCAGGACACGATGTAACACGAGTATGACACGGGCAGGACACGATGTAACACGAGTATGACACGGGCAGGACACGATGTAACACGAGTATAACACGGGCAGGACACGATGTAACACTAGTATAACACGGGCAGGACACGATGTAACACTAGTATAACACGGGCAGGACACGATGTAACCCGAGTATAACACGGGCAGGACACGATGTAACACGAGTATAACACGGGCAGGACACGATATAACACGAGTATAACACGGGCAGGACACGATGTAACACGAGTATGACACGGGCAGGACACGATGTAACACGAGTATAACACGGGCAGGACACGCTGTAACACGAGTATAACACGGGCAGGACACGATGTAACACGAGTATGACACGAACAGCACACGATGTTTCACGAGTGTAACACGTCAGGACACGATGTAATACGAGTATGACAGGGGCAGGACACGATGTAACACGAGTATAACACGGGCAGGACACGATGTAACACGAGTATGACACGAACAGCACACGATGTTTCACGAGTGTAACACGTCAGGACACGATGTAACACGAGTATGACACGAACAGGACACGATGTTACACGAGTGTAACACTTCAGGACACGATGTAACACGAGTATAACACGAGCATACACACAAGACTCAATACACACAAGTGAAGACTCCATACACACAAGTGAAGACTCCATACACACAAGTGAAGACTCAATACACACAAGTGAAGACTCCATACACACAAGTGAAGACTCAATACACACAAGTGAAGACTGAAGACTCAATACACACAAGTGAAGACTCCATACACACAAGTGAAGACCCAATACATACAAGTGAAGACTCCACACACACAAGTGAAGACTCAATACACACAAGTGAAGACTCCATACACACAAGTTAAAAATCCCTACACACAAGTGAAGACTCCATACACACAAGGGAAGACTCAATACACACAAGTGAAAACTTAATACACACAAGTGAAGACTCCATACACACAAGTGAAGACTCAATACACACAAGTGAAGACTCAATACACACAAGTGAAGACACGAGTATAACACGGGCAGGACACGATGTAACACGAGTATGACACGAACAACACACGATGTTACACGAGTGTTACACGTCAGGACACGATGTAACACGAGTATGACACGAACAGGACACGATGTTACACGAGTGTAACACTTCAGGACACGATGTAACACGAGTATAACACGAGCAGGACACAAGCAGGATACACATGGCCAAACCAACCACGATCTGTCACGGTGTATCACGAGTATAACACGAGCAGGACACGATGTAACACGAGTATAACACGAGCAGGACACGAGCAGGACACACATTCATGGCCAAACCAGCCACGATCTGTCACGATGTATCACGAGTACATGATGGTCTAAGTACGAGTAAATGATGAGATAATCACGATGTGTAACAATCTTTCACACGAGCTGAACAGCGTGTTTTATCGCAACAAACTCTGCGAAGATGGACGGGTAACCTGTTCTACCCGCGTTTTATAGTCAAATCAATGGAGGCGTTACAACAGCTCCTGTTGTAAAAGTACTGAACCTCTTTGAGGAAATTTATTCTTTTGCACAAATGTAGATTTGGCAAGCCATTCAACTCAATTATTCTCAGCTGTGTTGTGTCATGTGCGAGGCAAGGTTGCAATATGATGTTCCAGTCGAGTGCATCTCAACTATCAACCACACCTTCCCACTTGACGGCCTTCAACCATACACACAAGTGAAGACTCCATACACACAAGTGAAGACTCAATACACACAAGTGAAGACTCCATACACACAAGTGAAGAACCAATACACACAAGTGAAGACTCCATACACCCAAGTGAAGACTCCATACACACAAGTAAAGACTCCATACACACAAGTGAAGACTTCATACACACAAGTGAAGACTCCATACACACAAGTGAAGAACTCATACACACAAGTGAAGACTCCATACACACAAGTGAAGACTCCATACACACAAGTGAAGACTCCATACACACAAGTGAAGAACCCATACACACAAGTGAAGACTTCATACACACAAGGGAAGACTCCATAAACACAAGTGAAGACTCCATACACACAAGTAAAGACTCCATACACACAAGTGAAGACTTCATACACACAAGTGAAGACTCCATACACACAAGTGAAGACTCTATACACACAAGTGAAGACTCCATACACACAAGTGAAGACTCAATACACACAAGTGAAGACTCAATACACACAAGTGAAGACTCCATGAAGACTCCATACACACAAGTGAAGACTCCAAACACACAAGTGAAGACTCCATACACACAAGTGAAGACTCCATACACACATGTGAAGACTCCATACACACAAGTGAAGACTCCATACACACAAGTGAAGACTCCATACAAACAAGTGAAGAGTGAATACACACAAGTGAAGACTGGCTTGACTCACAATACATTTCCCGAGTTATTTTTTTTTCTCAGTTTGAAATAACATACACACAAGTGAAGACTCACTACACACAAGTGAAGACTCCATACACACAAGTGAAGACTCCATACACACAAGTGAAGACTCCATACACACAAGTGAAGACTCCATACACACAAGTGAAGATTCCATACACACAAGTGAAGACTCCGTACACACAAGTGAAGACTCCATACACACAAGTGAAGACTCCATACACACAAGTGAAGACTCCATACACACAAGTGAAGACTCAATACACACAATTGAAGACTGGATTGACTCAATACATTCCCCGAGTTATTTTTTTTCTCAGTTTGAAATGTGTTTCATAACATATTCGAATTTAAATCATTATCATAAAGAACAGAATGACTTTTATGAGATTTATATAAGACGCATCCTAGATATAACACAACAGACATTGACAGACAACTTACCTGGCGACATCGTTAACGGTCTAATAATTCCCAAACAATGAAGAGCCTGAGAAGAAACTTGCATAAGATGACAACGATTGAACAAGAACTGCACAGTTTTGAATTAAAAATGCGTACACCATGGAAAATGGGACCACATGTGCTCTTGCTGTTAACCAATGAAATGAAGCCGCGGGGATGAGTTGTACCCCTTCTGTCTCCCCATGCCCATCAGCATCCGCTACCCTTGCTGCATGGCACACACGGGAATAATGACCCTGTTCGATTCAAGGTAGGATGTCATTATATTAGTAAATTAAAATAGTTGTTGACCTTATATGAATCGTGCTCTCTCTGTTACTACTTTTATGAGTGGTTCACAGGGAAGTGTGTGTTTGTATGTTTGTTGTATACCGTCGGATCAGCAATATTCAAGCTACATGATCATGGCAGTCTGTAAATAATCGAGCCTTGACCAGACAATCTGGTACGAGGTAAGTTCCTTAGCCTTGACCACCCGAGTTTGTTACCCATGAAGGGTTCGATTAACTGTTTGATTAAGTGGGTGAGTTAGGTTACGATGACATGCAACGAGCCTGACCACCTGATCCATCAAGTCGTCTCGTACAAAGGTCGGATCTGTTCTAACCCGGTATCCCCCGGGGTGCTTCCTTCTATCCCCCGGGGTGCTTCCTTCTGTCCCCAGGGTGAGCCCATTGCTGGTCCTGATTGTCGGGTTTCATTTTGGAGTGCTTGGCTTGTATCTCACGTTCAGATCATCGTCGCAGAATGTCAATGCCCTGATAATAGGTGAGTGGAGCCTTATTTAGATTTATATTATACGTGTTTCAGACACTCTAATTTATCCATGCAGAGTTGCCTACCTTAGCTGACAGGATCCGTTGTAAACTAAAGGCGCGCGATTACGATAATGTGTCTGTTGGCACCATACTGTGATCATGGATAAACATCTGCACTCTGCAGCAGTTTGAGCTTTCCTCCTACATTAAGCTGACATTCCGTTATATAAGTGAAATACCATTCAAGACGGTGTTAAACCAAACTCACTCAAACACTCATTCGCATATTCCTTCCGGTTTATATGCTTACTTTGTTGGCGATTTTAAAACTAGGGTTGGCTGATAACTCGAAACATGTCTGAAACAAAAACACGTGGAATGATGTACAAGTCAGAGTGGGTAATGCCATTTAACGCCATAATCAACAATATCCCAGTCATCTAACGGTGGCCTGATCCATTAACCAGTGGCTGAAAGAGTGAGCAACTACCCGCGCCATCAGGGACAGAAAGACCCAAGTAACACGTGACATAATTATCACGCAATAACACTTGAACCCCCCTCCGGTATATGACACCAGGGCTGTAACTGTCAGTGAAGAGTTATGCTTCATAGCTCGATGATGTTAGCCTCATTATTAAAGCAGCGCTTGGAACGGAAGGTCGATGTCATCCTTCAAAGTGGAGTATGACTCAACCCGTGTCTCTGTTTCTTTGTTCCAGAACGATTGGTCGGGATTGTCTTCATGTTGTCCTCACTTGTAGCAGCAGACATATACAGATCTGAGCCTCTGCGCTCCCACACATGGAGTACAATGCTCCAACAATACGTCAGCTTCAAGAAGCTCCTCATCCAACATTACCGTCTCAAGACAAAGATTCTAGCTCCTATGCAGGACGTGAAGACCACCCAGGCTGACCTCCTGCGAGACATCCTCAAACAAAGAGTAGAGGTGGCGTATGGTAAAGATTTCAAATTCAGTGCCATAAAGACAGTAGAAGAATTCCTCGCTACGCACCCAATAACCACCTACGCACACTATGAGTCTTACGTGTCTCGTGTTATTGATGGGGAGTGTGATGTAATGTTTCCGGGATCACCCAAATACATCGTCCTTTCGTCTGGAACAACCTCAGGAAAGATTAAGAGACATCCAAAGGACCTGAAGTTCTTTGGTAAGGTCAGTTGGATGTATTTCGCCTATCTCCGCACCACATTGTTCCGGTTTCGACACATGTCAAAGTTACAGCTGTGGCATGACATCCGTGTTAAACCGCCCATCACCAAGTCAGATCTAGGGGTTCCCATGGGAGCCGGAAGTGGGTCGGCATATTTTATATGTCCATTATCTGCGTCTCCACCGGAAGTGTACACCATGGGAAACGAGGAGAAGGTCATGTACCTTCATTCCTTATTTGGGCTCAAGGAAAAGAATGTGACTCTCTTCAGTTCAATCTCAACCCCGCTTGCTCTAATCTTCTTTAAAACAATTCAGAAGTACTGGAAACAATTATGTGATGATATAGAATCTGGAACAATAAACGAAGCCGTTCAGCTCGACCCTGGCGTGAAACAGAAATTGCAGAAGTCCTTGACCTCAAATCCGGAAAGAGCCGATGAGCTTCGGAACATATTCCGTAAAGGAACTTCTCACTTCGGTCCACGTGTGTGGCCGAACTTTGCAGCCCTCCACGCTCCAGGAACTGGCTGTTACTCGTTTGCAGTAAGTATATAATTAGAATATTTTCAGTACTGCGGCACCACCTCAACTCTAATCTGATTACTATCAATTTGTCACTGTCGTTCTCCATTGTATACACCCTCAGCATCGGACCATAAACTGCCAGGCAAAAGAATGTATGCAATTGAAAACAGTCGCCGAAAATGCGACAGCCATGTACCTTGTCATGCCCGTATCAAATGCATCACCACTAAATAACCAATGCTTGTGTTTGTTTCATTATTAGCCAGCAGACCTGTGCAGATCTGGGCTAGAATAGGTCTTCGGTAACCCATGCTTGTCTTTAAAGTGACCTAATGGTCCTAAGGGTCGCTGACTTGGTTCATGCATGTCATCCTACCCAATTTCGTTGATCGATGCTCACAATGTCAATCATTGGATTGTTTGGTCCAGACTCGAATATATACAGACTGCCACCATATAGCTGGAATATTGCTGAGTGCGGCATAAAAACAACAAAGTAACAAATAAAGCTGAAATAAATATACAGAAGAATATGTAGAAAATCAGTAGGATTATTATTATAATGATATTTCTTTTTCATGTTTGTTATATTGTTGGTCGTCAGGTTTTGGGTTTAACATGAGTTTTAGCACTGTTCTAGCAATAGTATGGCCACATGTGGGGAATCAAATCCGGATTTAGGGCGTGTTGTGTGAAACGTCAACTGCAGGGCATCCCCACCCCAAAAGACTGCCATTGTACAATAAATACACTAAGTCTTAATTAAGATATGTCTTACAGTAGATCGCTTTGTGCAAGATCAGCCTGCCAACTGAAATCTTAAACACCATGTAAGGCTTCATAAGTCATTCAGGACTCAATGTCGTATCACGTTGTAGCATTGAAGAGAAGTCATACCATTCAGAACACAATTAAAGCCACAAGGAAACCACCATCCAGCCACTAGCTAGAACATTCAGGAGCAGCGTACCACATTCCTTGCAGTTGTGGACAAGCTTACATAGGAGAAAAGTCTAGGTTCCTCAAAACCCGAATTAAAGAACATCAAAGCTCAGTCTCCAAAGATGACTCTAAATCAGCTCTATCAGACCACATCCGTGACAACCCAAGCCACAGTATTCAGTGGGAGAGAGTCACAGCCCTCACCACCAACCTCAAAGACTTCAAAACTGGAAACTACAAGAAGCCATCAACTTGATGCCCAAGAGATTTTACAATTTATTAGAGTTCGGGGTGGAATTTAATTCATAATTTCATGGTGGTTTTCCTAATCACTGCTCAATCCATAAAGAGGCATTCTTACATTATGGTGCTTTTCTTTGCCTTAAATCATTTTCTACTCACAAATCCAACTGGGAATTATAGCTCTATGACGAGTTCTGGTCACATTTTATTGTAGGTCTTCCAGGCTTACAGTATTTCTCGATGGCTGCCTCTAATCATGATTATTTTCTTTAAACCACCATCCCTGGTATCATGAGTACTTATTTTTGTGGGTACCTCTATTTGTTTTTCATTCCATCATTACAGACTGAGCTTCTGAAGAAGAACTTCCTAGGTGGGGTGCCGGCATCCTCCGGCGTCCATATCTCGTCTGAGAGTCTGTACGGTCTGAACCTGCACGTGGAGGATCAGACAAAGACTGAATACACAATCCTGCCGTGTCTGAACTTCTATGAGTTCATACCCAAAGACTACATAGACAGGGAGGATCCCACGACCGTTCTGGCTCACGAGGTAATCTCATGTTTGATGTTGTAAGTGAGAAGGGCGAGTGACTGTGTCTTTGTTTCTCTGTTTGATTGTGTATGATAGTCAACAATATTGCATGTATATGACGACTGTAGTAGGTGCGTTAATATCTAAAGCCCCATGTGCTGTATTTCCGCTATATTGTGTCTATAATTATAAATATATGTGGATTATAAAAAAAAATTGTCAACAAAGAACAGATATTCTAAAATCACAGATTTATTTTTAAAACTAGCATGTAACAATCATAAATAGTCACTATACATACATACATGATAAAAAAGAGCTTGAGATCACCAGCAACTAAAGTTAAGCCACCATACACATCAAGGATAAACTGGTCATCCTTGACCTAGGAGATGCTAGTTTGGTTTGAAATAGACAGGTGACTTTGGTAGTTCGTTGCTGATGTCCAAGGTAGGTCTCTGACAATGCCTCTGCACGAATTTAGTGTCTTATGCAGAGACAATAATCAGAGTATTAGTAAACTGTTGTAAACCAAACAGATTGACAGATTGCGCCTCTTTGCACTTTCCACAAGTCGGGAACCCGCCCGCAGGCGTGTGACATCCTTCGCATCTCCACAGGCACCTTTGATGCCCATGGAGATAGCGAACGGATTAAGCTATAATGGATTTCAATCAGCAGTAGCAATGACTATTGATCGTGGCTAGGAATCTTTTATCGCAAGAGGGACTCCTCATCAGAAGAAAGTACGTCCACGTGTCTGCGTCTATTTGTCTTTGATGAACCAGGTGTATTGTCTTGAGACATGGCGTAAGAATAGTATTCGGCACCTCTGCGGCCCACCCGCCATCAAGTGTCAACATGGATAATGCTACAAGGATGTTACACTCCGGAAAAAGAGACAAGAAAAGCTATGAAAACTAAAAGAATAAAATGTAAGGTTGGTTTGGCCCATGACATCATTCCCAAGAACCACAGATTTCAGAGGTCCGTCTTACCGGATTAGCCCATGAGCCACCGCCTTCAGACATAGGACTCTAGGCAATTTATACACGATAAATTTCAATTATTAACATTCATTGATACGAAAAAAATTGAAAATAATTTAGGGATGAATGTTTTCCATGATCAGGGCATGGCGTGACCAGACCAGACACTGGCTCCGTTGCCCACAACCACCAGAATGCCTTCTTCCATTGATACAGGGACACAACACACGGTAAACGGGTTGCCCAATTTTGTAGCCTTTTACGACAAGCAATAAGATGCTTGAGACACCATTCTGTCTCACCACAGGGATGACGAGTTTATACAAGATAAAATCTGGACAAGGCACGTGGTTGATGGCAAGATCAACGATCCGCTCTATGGGAAAGGATACACCCTGTGACAACCGTATCTTCTACTTACTTTTGCATATTCGTCAGTCTACAGCCGGCAAATTCCTGATGGATGAACCTTGTTCAGTCTCATTAAAAGCAGACCTTGGTGCTCGCTACCCCTGCACAAAGATCTGAGGACAACCATTAGAGGTCACACCAGAACAACATTTTATCCTACAAATTAGAGCGTTGATTACTAAATCGCAAAAGTGACAGTCCAAATCGTGATTGAATCATTCACTATCGAAAAGTGATGGCACGTAAAAGTCTAGTCAAGTAATGGTGATAAGACAACTTGTCAAACCATGAAAGATCCATTTAATTTATATGACGTCTTTTTTATCGTCGTGTCATTCGAACCGGTTGGTTGGTTTGTTGTTTAACGCCGCACTCAGCTATATTCCAGCTATATGACGGCGGTCTGTAAATAATCGAGTCTGGACCAGACAATGCAGTGATTGACATCATAAGCATCGATCCTCGCAATTGGGATCTATGACATGCATCAACCAAATCGGCGAGTCTGACCACCGGATCCGGTTAGTCGCCTCTCACGACAAGCATAGTCGCGTTCTACGGCAAGCATGATTTGCTGCAGACGTATTCTACCCCGGATCTTCACGGATCTCTTTTGAACCGGAGTCAAAACAAAGTCTTGGGTATTTGACACTGGGTAGCTGAGGATGTTTTAACTGTGGCATTAAACAAACTTTTACTCACCTGTGTCTTTCGGATATGGCTCCTGACTGTCTGTATTTTTGCTTCTATATAGTATTTGTTCTCTATTCATATTCCCATATTCACCCCCATATTCACCCCTTTATCTTCCCTGTATATTTACCCCCTATACCTTCCCCTATCATAACGCATGATTATCCTTATATTAACCCCCTGTAATACCCTATATTCATCCATATGTTTACCCCGTATATTTAGCTCCTATATCTAGCCCTTATAATACACTATGTATATTTAGCCCCGTATATGTGCCTCCTATATCTAGCCCCTATAATATCCTATGTATATTTACCCCCGTATATTTTCCCGCGATATCTAGACCCTACAATACCCTATGTAGTTTACCCCCGTATATTTACCCACGATATCTAGCCCCTTAAATACCCTATGTATATTTACCCCCGTATATTTACCCGCGATATCTAGCCCCTACAATACCCTATGTATATTTACCCCCGTATATTTACCCGCTATATCTAGCCCCTATAATACCCTATGTATATTTACCCCCGTATATTTACCTCCTATATCTAACCCCTATAATATCCTATGTATATTTACCCCCGTATATTTACCTCTATATCTATCCCCTATAATACCCTATGTATATTTACCCCGTATATTTACCCGCGATATCTAGACCCTACAATAGCCTATGTAGTTTACCCCCGTATATTTACCCACGATATCTAGCCCCTTCAATACCCTATGTATATTTACCCCCGTATATTTACCCGCGATATCTAGCCCCTACAATACCCTATGTATATTTACCCCGTATATTTACCTCCTATATCTAGCCCCTATAATACCCTATGTATATTTACCCCCGTATATTTACCTCTATATCTATCCCCTATAATACCCTATGTATATTTACCCCCGTATATTTACCCGCGATATCTAGCCCCTACAATACCCTATGTATATTTACCCCCGTATATTTACCCGCGATATCTAGACCCTACAATACCCTATGTAGTTTACCCCCGTATATTTACCCACGATATCTAGCCCCTTCAATACCCTATGTATATTTACCCCCGTATATTTACCCGCGATATCTAGCCCCTACAATACCCTATGTATATTTACCCCCGTATATTTACCCGCTATATCTAGCCCCTATAATACCCTATGTATATTTACCCCCGTATATTTACCTCTATATCTAGCCCCTTTAATACCCTATCTATATTTACCCCCGTATATTTACCTCTATATCTATCCCCTATAATACCCTATGTATATTTACCCCCGTATATTTACCCGCGATATCTAGCCCCTACAATACCCTATGTATATTTACCCCCGTATATTTACCCGCGATATCTAGCCCCTATAATACCCTATGTATATTTACCCCCGTATATTTACCTCCTATATCTAGCCCCTATAATACCCTATGTATATTTACCCCCGTATATTTACCTCTATATCTATCCCCTATAATACCCTATGTATATTTACCCCCGTATATTTACCCGCGATATCTAGCCCCTACAATACCCTATGTATATTTACCCCCGTATATTTACCCGCTATATCTAGCCCCTACAATACCCTATGTATATTTACCCCCGTATATTTACCTCCTATATCTAGCCCCTATAATACCCTATGTATATTTACCCCCGTATATTTACCTCTATATCTAGCCCCTACAATACCCTATGTATATTTACCCCCGTATATTTACCCGCTATATCTAGCCCCTATAATACCCTATGTATATTTACCCCCGTATATTTACCCGCGATATCTAGCCCCTACAATACCCTATGTATATTTACCCCCGTATATTTACCCGCTATATATAGCCCCTATAATACCCTATGTATATTTACCCCCTTATATTTACCCGCTATATCTAGCCCCTACAATACCCTATGTATATTTACCCCCGTATATTTACCTCTATATCTAGCCCCTACAATACCCTATGTATATTTACCCCCGTATATTTACCCGCGATATCTAGCCCCTACAATGCCCTATGTTCTCCTTCTGCAGGTGGAGGTTGGTGGGGAGTACGAGATGGTGGTGACGACATGGATGGGGCTGTACAGATACAGGACCGGGGACGTCGTGCGAGTCAGCAGCTTCACTGGGACGACTCCCAACTACATCTTCTCCCAGAGGTACATTGATGACAGATCAATGTTACCAGGGTGTTTGTGCTTACTTATTGACCAGTGAACTGAAAGCATTTCAATATTTGATAATCGACTGCGGTCGACTTCAGCTTGGGTGGTATACTTCTCAGGGAGCTCAGAATGCAGTAAATCGGCAATCATCATCATGATCATCATCCTTCTTTATTGTTATTGTTATCATTTTTCATTTCCGTGTAGCCTATTCCTTGACTTGCTTTTGCATGTGTTTGTGATGCATGCCACTGGTTGGGCAGGATAAGGACACCTTTTCGCCAGCACCAGGTATCATCACTATTCGATCGACCGTTTTTAGATATTTCTTGTGGATATAGAAAGGGCTTTATCTAAGACATTCAAGAAGTCCAGGTGTACCTTTTTGAATAAAAAGTATACAAACAAGAGGAACCCTTTTAACCCTCAATAAACTCGGAGAATGTCATTTAAAAAAGCACTAGATATTGAACAGTTGTCATATGAAAGTATGCCACTGAATGTGATTAGTATTTAGTCAATTTCTGAATCCCCAGGTTTTATAAGACAATGCATCAAGCGTGTCCCTATGTTCAGATGGTTGATCAGATTACTTTTGAGGACCTGGCTCTGTATACTATACATAGGTTTGTGTGTGCCTTTCAGGTACAAGAAACTCGGTCTTTGCATTTTACCATTTTAACTTGCCATTGGCACTTGATTACAAGGAACCCTGTACAATTATCCCCACAGATCGTCTGACTATCTGGGCAAGTACCCAGAGTCCCTGTTCACGGAGGCCGTCCACGATGCTGCCAGAACGTGGACGTCAGGAACATTATACAGCTACATGGCGTGTGAGAGTCATAACGTAGACGCAATCACAGGTATAACGTTCCTAAACTAGTATCACAGCATGTCAGCTTGATGTAGGAGGAAAGCCTATAGTGATGTAATTAAACCAATTCGTACGGGTATGGTGCTCGCAGATGTCGAACATTATCAGGACGATGGAAGATTCTATACCACTATCTCAGGGACAAAACTCGCCCACGACTAATTCAGTCCGTGTAAACAACACCCTTTTTTGGTAAACGTCAAATTAATTCGAATAGGTTTGAGTGCACTTTTATACTTTTTGCACTGTTTGTGTTCAACGGGATAAAATATAGCAGCCCAGAACCTTTGTATTACGTTTGCTGACACTACCATTCCATGCATTTGGTTAATACTGACACATTTATTGAACACAACATTTGATACCCTGACATTTCATTTGGAACCGGCTTGGTACATGCAACAAGCAGGAAGTGTCAAATGTTGAATTTCCACTCATGTAAAACACAATGCCTCCTGCAAATCTTAAAAGATTAATTCAGTTTTACCAACCCTGTTTGTATACAGGTGATGTGTCCCCCTCACGGTGCTACTATATATTTCTGGAGCTTGAGGATGATACGATCCTATCAGATGAAGACAAGGAAAAGGTACGCCCTTGCTTTAGTGAGTGAGTGAGTGTATTAGGTTTGTCGAAGCTTCAAGTAACCTTTAAGCAATGTTTTAGCACACAGTCATCCTTCACACCTTGCTTGTTTCCCATGAGAGGGTTCTATGACAGAACAGTCCCGAGTACTCCATGTTTATTTCCCAGGAGGGTTTCCATGACAGAATATATAGGTCGCCAGTACTCCATGTTATTTTCCCAGGAGGGTTTCCATGACAGAATATATAGGTCGCAAGTATTCCATTTTATTTCCCAGGAGGATTTCCGTGACAGAATATATAGGTCCCCAGTTCCACATGTTATTTCCCAGGAGGGTTTCCATGACAGAATATATAGGTCGCCAGTATTCCATGTTATTTCCCAGGAGGGTTTCCATGACAGAATATATACGTCCCCAGTTCTCCATGTTATTTCCCAGGAGGGTTTCCATGACAGAATATATACGTCCCCAGTACTTCATGTTTCTTTCCAAGGAGGGTTTCCATGACATAATATATAGGTCCCCAGTACCCCATGTTTATTTCCAAGGAGGGTTTCCATGACATAATATATAGGTCCCCAGTACCCCATGTTTATTTCCCAGGCGGGTTTCCATGATAGAATATATAGGTCCCCAGTACTCCATGTTTATTTCCCAGGAGGGTTTCCATGACAGAATATATACGTCCCCAGTACTTCATGTTTCTTTCCAAGGAGGGTTTCCATGACATAATATTTAGGTCCCCAGTACCCCATGTTTATTTCCCAGGAGTGTTTCCATGACATAATATATAGGTCCCCAGTACCCCATGTTTATTTCCCAGGCGGGTTTCCATGATAGAATATATAGGTCCCCAGTACTCCATGTTTATTTCCCAGGAGGGTTTCCATGACAGAATATATTGGTCGCCAGTATTACATGTTTCTTTCCCAGGAGGGTTTCCATGACAGAATATATTGGTCCCCAGTACTCCATGTTTATTTCCCAGGAGAGTTTCCACGATAGAATATATAGGTCCCCAGTACTCCATGTTTATTTCCCAGGAGGGTTTCCATGACAGAATATATAGGTCGCCAGTATTACATGTTTCTTTCCCAGGAGGGAACATATTATTTCCCAGGAGGGTTTCCATGACAGACAAACCAAACGTTATAATAACGATGTACGATGCGTATTCATTTAACCGAGCCTCAACAACTGTTTCGATGTAGTCTTCTATGTTACGAACAGACATTGTTTTACTGTATGTGTAAGATATGTTGTACGAAGCTTCTAGACCTATGTTAAATATGGTACTTGTTGTTACCCTGCCTCGGCGTGTGTCCGAATAGGATACCCAAGTTAAACTGCGGCATGGTATATTAGTGGACTAGAAGTATATGTAACTGGCATGATTCCGGACTAGTTCAAGCGGACACACGCACACACACACACACGCACACACACACACACACACACACACACACACACACACACACACACACACACACACACACACACACACACACACACACACACACACTTACACACACACACACACACACACACACACACACACACCTGCAAAGTAAGTGCAATAATCTTAAACACGACGTTAAACCCCGTTTCACTTCTACCCCTTTGTCTGACATTGTCTGCTCTTCAGCGTCCTTGCACAAATGAGTTGGGTCACTGAAGAGAATATGGCAAAATGGGCTTTTTGAACGTTCATTGATCAGCACACCATTTCATAATATTTAATCGCGCCATTAAAAAGAACACTCTTAGATTCTTCTACAGAAGAAAGAGGACAGTGAGCGCTCATCACTATGTTAAAAATATTTTTGTCTTTAAAATCCTGTTGTTTTCAGATCATTGGTATGCTACGATCCCGTTTTGAAGATTACTGCGGTAACAAGGTAACGGGGACGATTGCCGCCCCTGTCATCGTGCAGGTCAAGTCTGGGACACTTCACGTCATCAAGCAGGTCAACTTTGACCTGAACCCTCAAGCTGCTTTACAGCAGTACAAGTACCCGAAGTTAACGAAGACACGAGAATTTATACGAATCTTGTTGGCAAGCAGGTTGTGAATCTAAAACTGTGCCAAGATTCCTACTTGCAATAATGGACAAACCATGGACACTTCATATATTTGTCATCCATGAAGAAACAACATTCTGTGACCCTTGATGAGAAGTAGTTTGTCAACGTAAAACAGGTTTAAAGTGCTTGTTTAGTTGAGGCATTTATAAATATTTTATTACTGCTTCCAGCTGGTGCTGTTTTCGCACACAGTGTTTATGAAGATTGTGTATTATTTACAGGCTTGGAGGAGACTTGTAAGACAGCTCTGCAGATTAAATTAATCTGTGAGTTGTTTTCTAATGCTGTTGGTTATTTTAAGACTGCTTCAAGCTAATCCTCACTCATCTCCCCGAGGCAAGAGAGTTAACTGACTTTGTAAGGCCAGTTTCCACCCTTGCCGAACTAGGCTGGAATTACTGGCCTCGATCGTAGCGCCACCAGTGGCTATTTCCAGTTATGTCCCTTCTAAGCCTCTCCTATGGACCAATCAGAATCCACCTCTCGTATCACTTGCGTTTGCTTCAAACAAAATGGTGGCGCCCAGTCAGTAATCTTGCGCAATAATCAAGAATGATATTGTGGTAAAACGGGTCTTACATTGCGAAATGCATCAAATCGCGTGAGCACCTTGATTAAAAATATGAAAAGAGATGGAAAATATCTGCTGACAACGAGTTGGCGGTGCACATGCTTTGCAAATCCTGCAATCGACCGAAATCTGCACGACAGTTTACGAACCGGATTTCGATTTCGGTGCGCGATTTTGTTTGGACTATGCATAGACTCGTTAGTCCAGCCAAAATGTAATTCCATAATACCAGCCTAGTTCGGCAACGGTGGAAACTGGACTTTTATAGTCAGTTAACTCTCTTGCCTCGGGAAGATGATCCTCACTTTACATGAATGGTTTGTATATACTCGTTGAAAAAAGTTGGTGATATTCGGATATTTCCAAAACTGTAAGAGATATTAGTTTCTAGTGATAGTTGTGTGATAATAATACATTAATTGGGAACACATAACAACCGAAATTGAAGAATCACAACAGATGTTATGACCGCATGAAGGACGAAAAGGGTTAAAACTTATGCTCTGGGTTTTGTATTTTCACAGTTTTACTGATTCACAAATATCACGTAATTATTTCTTGGTTCTAAAAGTGTATGATATCGAAATAAAATAAAATCTGGCCAACATTTTCCAAGCATTTCATTTGAGAAATGACATTTGTAATACTACCGACACGTCTATCCATTTTGACGTCACAGTACGAAGATGCGGATTTGAAGGACGACATGACCTGCTCTACTAATCAGAAGTGAGGTGAGGTGAAATGGGGTTTAACGTCGCGTCCAAGATTATTGCACTTATATAGCGACGTGCATGTACGTGTGTGTGTGTTTGTGTGGCTGCTTGTACTAGTCCGGTCTGATGCCGATTGATAGTGCTACCCCACTGAGATACCATGCCGCAGTTTAACATGAATACCCCACTCAGACACAGTATACGACGTAAACAACTACATTTTGTGATGCGTTATGTAAGATAATTGATGTCTAGCCTTCCGACCTTGAATCAAACCGGGCCATTCTTCCCGTGTGTGCCATGCAGCTGGGGTAGCGGGGGTGATGTGCATGGGGACACAGCAGGGGCAATCCTCACCCTGGGACTTCATTTCATTGGTTAACAGCCCAAGCACATATGAGTTTTGGTCTTGCGTTTCATGATATGCACACACAAGACCAAAAGCTGGATTTCACAAAATTGAAACAAACGCGAATTCATGCTATGACCAGGTTAACCGATATGAACTAAATTTGGGCGTTAATACATATGAAGCTGCACCTTTGAAGCATATGATCCTCCTGTATTGCTGTATGCACAAGCACCATTGTCATGAATGCTTTGGACCGCCTCCGTGGTCTAGTGGTAGAGCGTCCGCCCGGAGAGCGGACGGTCTGGGGTTCGATCCCCGGCCGCGTCATACCAAAAGACGTTAAAAGATGGTACTATCCATGTTAAACTGCGGCATGGTATCTCAGTGTGCTAGCACTATAAATCGGCATCAGTCCGGACTAGTACAAGCAGCCACACACACGCGTGCATGCGCGTCGCTATATAAGTGCAATAATCTTGGCCGCGACGTTAAACCCAATGTTACCTCACCATGAATGCTTTGGTCGGATTTACAGACACTTCGAAGCAAGAATGCAGCAGTTGATACCCCAGTAAATACTTGAACATAGAGTATTTCCAAAGCATTTCTTTTAATTGTAATTGGTTATAAAATTTCCGACTTTTTTCTTAGTTTACTAGGATTCGTAATATGGACATTTCTTTAGGGAGGGGAAAACCTTTTTGTAAATTTGAAATGTCCAAATGTTTTTCATGCCATAGAAAGATACGGCATCATATGTTTCCAACATTTGAAATATTGGGTTCATGTATTTTGCCCCGGATCTTCACGGGTCTAGTGCTTTTGCTACTGCTACTGCTGCTGATACTACTCCGTCTACTACTACTGCTGTTGCAAATACTACTACTACTACTACTTCTACTATACTTTTGCTTCAACAGCTGTTATTCTTTATTATTTATACTGCTACTACTGCTACTACTACTACTACTACTACTACTACTACTACTACTGCTGCTGCTACTACTAATACTACTTCTACTACTACTGCTGCTACTGCTACTACTACTACTCCTTCTTCTACTTCTACTACGACAGTACTGCTACTACTTGTACTGGTACTACTAATAACATACAACTACTTACACTGCTGCAGCTTCTACTGCTACTACAACAATTGCTGCTACTACTACTACTACTACTACTACTACTACTACTACTACTTCTACTACTATTGTGTCACCATTGCTACTGCTTCAACTACAACTTAACAACAACCACTACTAGTGTTACAAAAACGGATACTGATGCTACCACTACCTTTAATATTACTACTGCTATAGTAGGCTGGTTGATGATGCAATAATTGTAACGCGCTCTCCAATACGATGTAAGTGGATGCCATTCCTTGGCACAAACAGACGTGATGGCATTGTTCTTTCCTTGATGTAAGATCCATCCATCCATGATATGACCCTGAACATGACCAAATAGTCATGGCAAATGATGTTATTAACATTTCATGGAATTGGCCCCAAAACAGCATCAGAAGAGAACCTGGCCACGAACCTGATCTTGTCCGTTTTGATAAAGCCAATGAAGTTCTTGATGTGATGGCATTATCTGTCCACTTTGACAGCAACGTCATTGGCAAAATTCAGGAATAGTACAAGAAAAATGACTCGCTTGCACACGAAGTATACAGTCTTCCCATTGTTGCCTGTGCCCTGCTAATGTAGCAGGCTGCCGTGTTGGGGAATTCATCCTACGTTCACTATGTTAGGACAACTCATTAACCGCGTTTCTTGTGTCGAGCGGTCCTCCCATTCGATGTACACGCCTCTTGTTCTGTCACAAGCGTTGTGGTTGATTTACATCGCATGTCTGCGACCCACATGTCCGTGAACTTTCTGGCTAATTTGTGGCCTGCTGGGGAGAAGGGGATATCTCTCCTAACCTTTGTGCTTATTTTAGTGAGACTGTGCACCACGCTCTTTTAATGTGCTAAGACTCGTGTTTACTGTGCCGTGTGACCAGTATGTGTTATTACTGCGCTATGTGATCACTGTATGTTATTACTGCGCTGTGTGACCACTGTATGTTATTACTGTGCTGTGTGATCACTGTATGTTATTACTGTGTCGTGTGACAACTTTACGTTATTACTGTGCCGTGTGATCGCTATGTGTTATTACCGTGTCGTGTGACAATAATATGTTATTACTGTGCGGTGTGACAACTATATGTTACTACTGTGTTGCGTGTTACAACTATCTGGAATGTTACTTTGTTGTGTGTTACAGCTATCTGGTGTTACTGTGTTGCGTGTTACAGCTATCTGGTGTTACTGTGTTGCGTGTTACAACTATCTGGAATGTTACTTTGTTGTGTGTTACAGCTATCTGGTGTTACTGTGTTGCGTGTTACAGCTATCTGGTGTTACTGTGTTGCGTGTTACAACTATCTGGAATGTTACTTTGTTGTGTGTTACAGCTATCTGGTGTTACTGTGTTGCGTGTTACAGCTATCTGGTGTTACTGTGTTGCGTGTTACAACTATCTGGAATGTTACTTTGTTGTGTGTTACAGCTATCTGGTGTTACTGTGTTGCGTGTTACAGCTATCTGGTGTTACTGTGTTGCGTGTTACAACTATCTGGAATGTTACTTTGTTGTGTGTTACAGCTATCTGGTGTTACTGTGTTGCGTGTTACAGCTATCTGGTGTTACTGTGTTGCGTGTTACAACTATCTGGAATGTTACTTTGTTGTGTGTTACAGCTATCTGGTGTTACTGTGTTGCGTGTTACAGCTATCTGGTGTTACTGTGTTGCGTGTTACAACTATCTGGTGTTACTGTGTTGCGTGTTACAACTATCTGGTGTTACTGTGTTGCGTGTTACAACTATCTGGTGTTACTGTGTTGCGTGTTACAACTTTCTGGTGTTACTGTGTTGCGTGTTACAACTTTCTGGTGTTACTGTGTTGTGTGTTACAACTATCTGGTGTTACTGTGTTGTGTGTTACAACTATCTGGTATTACTGTAGTGCGTGTTACAACTATCTGGTATTACTGTAGTACGTGTTACAACTTTCTGGTATTACTGTAGTGCGTGTTACAACTATCTGGTGTTACTGTGTTGCGTGTTACAGCTATCTGGTGTTACTGTGTTGCGTGTTACAACTATCTGGAATGTTACTTTGTTGTGTGTTACAGCTATCTGGTGTTACTGTGTTGCGTGTTACAGCTATCTGGTGTTACTGTGTTGCGTGTTACAACTATCTGGAATGTTACTTTGTTGTGTGTTACAGCTATCTGGTGTTACTGTGTTGCGTGTTACAGCTATCTGGTGTTACTGTGTTGCGTGTTACAACTATCTGGTGTTACTGTGTTGCGTGTTACAACTATCTGGTGTTACTGTGTTGCGTGTTACAACTATCTGGTGTTACTGTGTTGCGTGTTACAACTTTCTGGTGTTACTGTGTTGCGTGTTACAACTTTCTGGTGTTACTGTGTTGTGTGTTACAACTATCTGGTGTTACTGTGTTGTGTGTTACAACTATCTGGTATTACTGTAGTGCGTGTTACAACTATCTGGTATTACTGTAGTACGTGTTACAACTTTCTGGTATTACTGTAGTGCGTGTTACAACTATCTGGTGTTACTGTAATGCGTGTTACAACTATCTGGTATTACTGTAGTGCAAGTTACAACTATCTGGTATTACTGTAGTACGTGTTACAACTATCTGGTATTACTGTAGAGCGTGTTACAACTATCTGGTATTACTGTAGTACGTGTTACAACTATCTGGTATTACTGTAGAGCGTGTTACAACTATCTGGTGTTACTGTAGTGCGTGTTACAACTATCTGGTGTTACTGTAGTGCGTGTTACAACTATCTGGTATTACTGTAGTGCGTGTTACAACTATCTGGTATAACTGTGTTGCGTGTTACAACTATCTGGTGTTACTGTGTTGCGTGTTACAACTTTCTGGTGTTACTGTGTTGCGTGTTACAACTTTCTGGTGTTACTGTGTTGTGTGTTACAACTATCTGGTGTTACTGTGT